GGAACTAATTGTGCCTTTGCTTTTAATCTCAATGAAATTTACAATTGTAATTCATTTTATAACTGTAGTTCCTCCACCTGAGGCAAAAGCTTAGGATGGGACTTGAATTACTAGCTTAGCTGACTTTTACAAATCCTCTAAAAACAAATAGTGGCATTGAATTAGGCATTGCAGAGCTAAAAAAATTGCCTTTTGATTAAAAATAGGATCCCGGGTATAGGCCCACCCCCAAAAGAGGCCCAATTTTGTGTTCAAGTTGGGTGGGTCGATACCAGAGAACCTATAGGGTATATATCAGGGGTTCTCAACTATAAAGCAATAGGGGCCAAAATTATTCATTGAATAAATTTGAAGGGCCAGTGCAGGAGGTGTACTTTGGCGCGTAGCCCCATCCAAGCGAACCTAGAGGAGGGTTTTAGAGGGGGTATCTCCCTCTGCTACCTTACCCTCGCAATTGGAATTTTTTTGAAAATAATAAGCTGCTAGACGCTCATATAGGGCATCTTGACCTGAAACATAAAGTGAGCGACAGTGCAAGTTGGTGTGTTTATGATTTCTTTTCTTTCCTGTTTGCTGCGCTAGTTCTTCCGATTTGATTGATTAAATCGCTACAATTTGTGGGGCAACATATAGGCAAAATTATTAAGGTTAGAAGGCCCAAGCCTAACGGAAAATATTATTTTTGGTACGTTTTCGCGGGCTGCATAACATGCATTCACTGGCCGGAGATGGCCTGCGGGCCACCAGTTGAGAACCGCTGGTATGTATAAAACTATTATTAGAAGTAACAGTTAATTATCTGTCATATATATAGTATATATATTTATGTTGTTGTTGTGTTATGTTTTTTTTTATGGTTGTCAATCTCACAGCTGTGTTCCTGTGTGCTGTAAATGATCCGTGTTTAAATGGTGGAACCTGTTTGGATTCCCGTAATTCTACAACCGGAGAATACACGGCTGTATGCCAGTGCCCGTCAGGATATGAAGGAGTGGATTGTGCGAATGGTAATTTGGTTTAACGAAACCTGATAATGCGCTGTCAACACTATCAAATTTTGTGTGACAAAAAAAAGTGATATGCCCATATTTGGAAGTAATAAGATATCATTATGCCCAAATATATGCACATCACACAGGTTTGTCACATAAAATTAGATGCTGTGGACTTGGCTTAATTCTTGGTTCACACACTATCAAATTCTCTGTGACAATTATCACTGTACCATAGTATGATGATGTCGTATGACACCCATATATGGGGACATCACAAGTATTGTCACATAAAAGTGTGGACAGATTTTCAGTCCAGTAGAAAACATGTTCCTTGTTCCTTCCCAAAAAAAAAAACAACAAATTTGATAAACATCACCCTCTTAAAATGAGTATCTGAATCTATTTATACATGGCAGTCATATAAAAAAGAATTGGCCTACCTCACCCAACTTTTTAAAAATTCAGGACAATTAAGATACATGTTTTTATCAATTATGAGTTTTGTTTGTTGTATTCATTTTTCATGATAAATGCACTGCATAAATGTCGTGTATATCCAAAAAAATCAGTATTTTTTAAACCCAACCCTTTTTTATTAATATTTTTAACGCATGTAATACTATTTAAAAGTTTAATATTATTAATGTATATTTTCAATGTGGTTTTCTTGCTTGTTATGTTACTATTATAATATTAATACTTAAATATAATCCTGTAATACATAATATTAGTATTTTAATTCATATTAAGAATGTTTTATGTGATTAGATTACTGTATACCATTGATGAATAAGGTTGATTTGCTTATTATGTTGTTTTGTATTTTATCAAGTATGCACAAATGTTTAAATAGATCCATATCCGTGGGCCTGTTCATACATACGATATAGGCGTTAATATTTATCGCTAATCCAATTAAATGTGCCCTGAATTAGTATTTGTTAAAAAAACCCTAAAAAAAATCCAACAAACCAAATTTTTGAACACATCCTGGAATGACTTGTCTCCAATTACACATTTCACTGAACTCTTATTTTTGCTTGCTATATTATAACATGGCTTGTAGAAGATGCTGTTAGCTGATAGTATCGTAAGCCACATTATTAGCATGCCATTTTCTTAGCATTTCCTTGGTCTGCAGTTTTCTGTTCCTGCCTGGCACAACAAAAACAAAATTTATTTATCCCATTCTGAAAACATTACCATGAGATTTGGCCCTTAAAGGTGCACATGAAGATACAGTACTCTCTAGAACGGCTTTCCACAGAATTTTTTTAGGGCCTAAAATATTTCGTTGAACAATAGTTACTTTTGTTTTTAATCATCTCATTTTCTTCTGATTTTAACCTTTATCATTTTCACAAATTTAGTTACATTTCTACTAAAATCATACTTTTTTACTTTTCTTTTATCTCTCCATATCATTTACTATATGATTTTCGTTAATTACAGAGATCTTTTTTTAAAGTGAAAACACAATTTATTTTATTTTTCTCTAAGAATACTTATTTCAAAATGTGTTTATGTTCCGCTCAAAATTAACTGTTATTTACTGAATATTTTATTCAATAATTTATGGATATTTTTCAAAAACCATTAACAATTTGACGTGCTTAATATGCCATCTCATTTTTATTCATGTATGTGCATGTCAAAGGTTATGCACATGAGCAAACAATCTAGCCTATCACAGAACACATACATTCGTGAACAGAATAAATATTACAAATATTTATTTCATACATGATACAAGGCTAGATAATTTGTTAAAATATGCCTTGATTTGTCAAATAAACATGCACATTTTAAACTATAAAAGTGCTTATTCATCAACATTCTAGTATTGTCATTAAAAACATCAATTTCTAAATGTACACAATTTATTAAACTAATATGCCAGCACTCACAAAGCACGACGGTCATCGGCCAACACGATTCTATGGAGGATTCAAACGATGTTGCGTAGTCCAGCGCTCTCAAAGACCGGAGTTGGATTTGCAGTGAATTTAGTGTACATTTTCTAACCATCATTAACTCATCTTTATTTGCTAATTTCATGTCTTTTTTTATTTTTCCTCTTCTCTTCGTATCATCAACTCAACTCTTTTCATCTCTGCTTCAAAAGTAATACTAATATGTGATATTATGCCGTGTCAAAATGGCGGGACTTGTGTTACAACTTCACTGACAACTCGTGTGTGCATCTGTCCGGCTGGTGCGCTGGGGGCCAACTGTGAAAGCCGTAGGTTTTATGTACAGTGGCGTATCTAGGAGAAGCGCGAGGTGCACGTCACTGACGAGAGCTTTCTCCCACCGCCCCAAACCTCCTCCAATCGGGCATTGAAAATGTCCAAACCAAAAAAATCATGCTCGAGTAGTTAAAAATCACCTTATATCATCTTATTTTGTGAATCATCGAGGCCCACCTAGTCTTCCTTTGCACCACCCATCATTCCCCACCACCCATCAATCCCCACCACCCCATTTTAAGACTTCTAGATACGCCACTGTTTATGTACACTATAATTTATAGATTCATTTTTCCGAAAAAAATACTTCTTACTATGCTTTTCGCAGTGAATTGTAGGTAAAATGTAAAACTTGTCATTACCTGCTAATTTGCATTAGAATTTATAGAATGTTTTTTCTTAGTTGTTTGCATTGAAAAAAAAATCTACAACTAACTATATACTTGCTTTTCATTTTGCCAAAAGTAAAGTGGTTGTGCTAAATATGTTTATCACAAAAGGAAATAAATATGCTTATCATGACTTAATGAGCCATATTTTAGTAAATATAAATGGTTGTGATTAACAATTATGATTCTATATGACAACATCCAACCCCCAAGTGTATGTTTAGTACTCTTGCGGAAATGATGAAATTTATGGAAGGTCTTTCAATGAGCCCTTAATTTTCATTAGAAATAAGTTCAGTTCAAAATTTCACCATAATTTTTCCCCCTCTTTCTCTATTGTAGTAATTAATCCGTGTTCTCCAGACCCTTGTTTGAATGGTGGAACATGCACAAGTGTGGGGACAGCCTTCAGTTGCTCTTGTACAGGGGGATTCACAGGAACCACCTATATTTGATGTACATACATTTTAAAAAATAAACTAAAATTTTTTTAAGCACATTTTACAAAAAACTGCCAAAACAACAAGAATGTATACACATTCATTAATTGTCATAAGTTATTAACTAAGTCTCCCATGTGCTAAATTTCTTTGAAATTTTATTTTATTTTTGTAGTTGCAACATTGATCATATCTGTTTTCATTGCATGTAAAACCTTTTCTGTTTAATCATTGATTGTTTTTACTTTAAAGACATCTTTTAATCTGTTTTTCCACCCACTTTTTTTTGGTTTTGTTTTGCCAATTATTTATTATAAATAAAATAATCATTTTTGTTGTTACACTCAAAATCTTGAAAATATTGCATCAGCTTTTTTTTTTGGCAACACAATTTTTGCTTTTTCAAGGAGCTATTGTTCTGAATAATCATTAATAATCATAATGCTAATATTAGAAAGTTTCTTTCTATTTCAACAATCATCCATGTAACCTATAAAGTACAAGAAATTGTATAACTTCATTTAAACCATGCATTTGCTTGTAAATCATCTTCATTTGTGTTTCTATACCATCTTCTTTCAATGTGCATTCTCTAGTTTTGCCTTGTTATCAAAATCCTTGCCTAAATGGTGGAACATGCACAACGTTTGGCAGTGTTGATATGTGTCGTTGTACAAGTAACTACATCGGAAGTGTATGCCAGTTCTGTAAGCAAGTCATTGAAAGGGTTAAAAGTATAGAGTAGTCATGTAGTGACTTTTTGTTAGCCTGCATTAATCCTGTAAATTATTTTTAAAATGTAAACATCCTGAACACTAATAATAATAAATATCTTGAGATTAGTCACCATTATAAATACCTAATCATGTTCAAAATGATAAGAGGAATGAGGATGCATGTACGTTGTTGTTCTTGTAGATGAACAGTTCTATTATTTTTTAGGGGTGTTCTATTTAATGAAACACTGCATTCAGTAGTGGGTTTATCAAGACATTTTGTGAGCCGTCGTGACAAACTGAGCCTTGAACAAAAAATGAAAAATGAGTTATTGATATACAGTATGTAGATAGATGGCTATGTAAGCAGCTTTATTTTTGTCTTTGAATCCTAGCTTGAGTAACAACCGAAGTAAGATCATTTTCAGATTCAAAAGTCTTGGGAACATACTTTAGAGAAAACCGCCACTTATAAACATAAAGAATTGATAAATTTTGTGTTGGTTTATCAATTCTGAAAAGGAACTTTACAAAATGTGCCTCAAAAACACTTCTAACTTAATATACGTCATCTTACCAGAAACATTGACAACCCAATTTTTGTAACAAAATTCACGTATGTTTATTTGAATATCTCAAATTGACCTGGTGTCATGACACTTCACAAAATGGCTTGATAAACCCACTATTGCTTTCAGTGTTTCTTTAAATAAAACACCCCTAAAAAATAATAGAACTATCCATGTAAAATTTATGTCAACATCCACATATGCATCCTCATTCCTTTTTCACTTTGAACATGATTAGGTATTTATAATGCGACTGATCTGTATTACACCAAGATACCTTTTATTACCCCAGAGGTCTTTACGTTCACAAATTCTTAAAATATAAATTTTATTCCAAATGAAATTTTTAGGTATAATATTTTTGGTAAGAATTTGAAAAATAATTTCTTTAAAAAAATGCCATTGCATGACTACTCTTGACTGCAACTTTCCATCCATGCTTTTATCTACTAAAGTTAATGTTCATCTTTTGTTAAAGATTTGTTTTTTTTTAAATAAATTTTATTATACAATTGGAGTTTGATGTTAATTGTGATTGAACTGTGACTCGGGGGCAATGTTTTTTTGGGGGCATTCACCCCATCCCTAGATGTGCCACTGTTGATTTCTGTATTTTGTTTGCCATTAAAAGAATGTTTTATTTTGTAATTCATGTTGATTTTTATTGGTTAAATCAAGTAGTTTTGGGAAACCAGTCATTGTGCATAAAAGTGTACATTTACAAACATTGTCAAAACCAAAGTCCTTATATAATACGGTTTATTACTTCATAATCTATTTATACAGTTTTTTTTTATGTTAATTACAAAGAAGTTTCATATATATATAACTTTTGTGCAATTTTACAGCAACTATTTGCAATCCTGATCCATGTCAAAATGGTGGATTCTGTACAGTTCAACCAGACGGAAGTCAAAGATGCTCGTGCGTAAACAGCTTCTCAGGAATCTCATGTCAAATTGGTAAATTATTTTTATTCATTTAAACAATTTTTTTTTAACTGTTTTTTTTTTAGTGCGATCCTTCCAGCATATCCTAGAAAGTTGGCTGATATTCAAGAGGCCCTCTTGAATGGATCAAATAATGTGATTCTTTTATCAGCGAATTCTCTTTATGAGGCTTAGGGAGACTTGCTGTCACAGGAATTGAACCCAGAACCATGGGATTAGAAGGCAGGCACCTTAACCACTAAGCCATTCAACTCCACTCGAATTATTCCAATAATTTTATTATTTTATATCATTCCAGCATATGAAATACACAAATTTATTTAAATGAACCTCTAAAAAAATTCTCTGGGATCTCAGATGGAATAATAATCAATTATTTCATTTATTAGCATAGAAACACTCAGAAGACAACATAGATATAAGTTGAAAATTATCTAAATTTACAACACAAATGGAAAAAATACAAGACAAAAAAGAAAAAAAATTCTGGCTAAACTAAAAAATGAACATAAAATTAATATTACAGGGAAATTCAAATTAGATAATCAAAATACAATAATGTATAGGAATAATTAATTAATAAAAAATAACACAATTCTTTTATAGGTGTAATGTTGCCCTGCCTGCAAACAACTGCGAAAAAATCGCAAGTTGTTCTCGGGTGGGATTCGATCTCCAGATCACTAGCCTGGCATAATACCTCTAGACCACTGAGCTTGCGCGTGATGGCCAGGGTTGAATTCAAGTCCGAGTAAGCAGCGGGTTCGAGTCCCACCCGAGAACAACTTGAGATTTTTTTCGCAGTTGTTTTCAAATGTATTGAGTATTCGGTACATTTCCACGTCAGGTAGGGCAAAATTACACCTATACATGTTTCTCCTGACGCAAATCCAGTTATTGTCTATTATTCCATCACAACAATAACAATTACAATTCTTTTAGCTTTCAGTGTAGGCTCATATACAGCAGTAATGGTGTAGGCTGGTGGAGGGGTGCAGCAAGTTAGTTCCACTTAAAAGGGGGTTAAAATACTAACAATGACCATTAAGTTTTCATTGGAATACGGATTTAGTTCCGTATTCTCTTTTTTTTTAACCCACCAAGCTGAGACCAGCCTACTACGCCCCTGGTGGTTAGAAGGTTTAAATATAATTTAAAAAATTGCTTACAGATTATAATTAATATCATAATATTTTTCTTGACAGCACCACTGAACGATTGTGATAGCAATCCTTGCGTAAATGGAGTTTGCTTTGATAGTGATGAAGGGTTTGTGTGCACATGTCAAGATGGATATATTGGAGAGAGATGTAATACAGGTGAGTAATTTTATGAATACTACTTAACATTTTTGTCATTGTTATTATTATCAGTGGTGGTGCTACAGGAGCAAGGGAGAATCTCTTCTCCCCCCCCCCAATATCAATCGGGTTAGTGAAGTCGACGCAGAGCAGTCGCTTATCTGGTAGTACGCTTATCACAATCAATACAAGCAATGTGTTAATTCTCATATCTTAAATTGTATCTCTGGTCTGCTATGGGAAAAAATATTGGCACCTGTCCATATATAGTCATAATGTACCTATATATGGTCATGATGTGATGTCATCATATCATATTTGGGCATGTCACATGTTTTGTCAAATTGGTATTTTAAAGTATTTTTTTAATTTTTTTTATTTGGTTAGAATTTGATACCTGTAATCCAAACCCATGTAATAATGGAGGAGTTTGCACAATTGTGTCTGACCGTTTTGAATGTGCCTGCCAAATTGGATTCACTGGAGAAACATGTGGTACTGCTACCTGTAAGTATAATCAACCAACAAGACAATCAACCAATCAATCAATCAATCAATCAAACTAATTAATGAGAAATTTAATCAAATAAATATAGGTTATTAGTTTCAAAGAAATAAAATTATTTCTCACAGTTTCAGTTGTAATGTTTCACAAAATTGTGTTGTGTGATTGTTAAATATATTTAATATTTTTTTCTTTGATTTCTCAATAAAATGTGTTTGTAAATTTTGTCTGATAGAGCTATTCTCTTTTGAGAAAAGAATGTCCTAGACAGTTGAGATGGTAAAGTAAGCACCCTAAAAAATATTGCATGCTTATATCAAAAAGTATAGAACTGCAAGTGGTCCGACTCTCGGGGTTTCATTGGAATGCAATCCTATCTCCAAATGTACTACCACGAAATGGAGGGCGCCCTTCAAAAGAATGTAAAGGCATTTGTATCAAGAGTGTGTTGTGTCCATAGAATGCATGTTGGTGTTTCAACCTTTATTCCAATTTTAATAGGACACCCCCTATCTTGTGGTAGTACTCTTTTAAAAGTTTTATGGTGTGCATACAAAATCGGACAGGCGGACCTTTAGCAGTTTTATACTTTTTGGTTATACGCAGACATTGGGAAAAAAACTATTGCATGCCTGGCAACATGAACCATATAAGAACTGTGTAATTTGACTGTACCCTCATAGCTCAAAATGGCTGATGTAGGCTGACGGTTTGCTGTTTAATATTTATGAAGTAAAATAAATACATGTTATTATTTCAGTACAGCAGTGAATTTCTCTACTTTACCTTAAAACTATGTTGTATTTGCACTACTGCCAAGGGTGGGGGTAGGGGCGCAGGTGTGTGCGTGTTTAGTGCCCAGTTGCCTGGGCCCCGAAAGTTCACAGAAAAAATTTAAAAAATAACGTGTATTTGGAAAAAAAATATTTTGAACAATATTTACATGTTACGGGCCCCAGACCCCTGCTCTTGTGTCCCTCTGGCAGCATCTCTTCCCCAGGGCCCACAGTGTTGGCGGACCTGTGTATTTGTATACTAACAATTCCTTTCTTCAACTCCACAGCAAATCAGTGTACTGATAGTTACTGTAAAAATGGTGGTACTTGCTCGTTTGATGGCTCTGTTACGACTTGCTCATGTTCTCCAGGGTACGCAGGAGCGCAGTGCCAAGATAAAACATTCAACACAATATGTATGTATTTAAACTTTCAAAGATACTCTCCAATCTAAGTGTAATATAACTTGAAAATTAAAAACAAACTGCTAAATTTAAAAAAAAATACCATCTATTTGATCTTCCTGACATGTGATCGTACCGAATACTCAGTACGTTCCCAAATACATGCGAAAAAAATTTGCAAGTGATTGTTGGTGGGAACTCACAACCTCTAGATAACTAGCCTGGTGTCTTAAGCACTAGACTACCGAGCTTGCACTTAGTGACTAGTGTTGAATCCGATCCCCAAGTGGCAGTGGGTACAACAAACGCTATTTTTGTGTCCATACGGTAAAACATTCCAAAAGAAAGATGAAAGAATTATTCAGCGATAATGGGCACACAAATGTGGCCGGAAGCGCAGTGTTACTAACAGATGTAACACCGCCCAGAATAACGCAAAAATTGGAACAGGGGGTTAAAATGCAAGGTTGTCGACCAAAATACTGCCTCCCTGACACATAACTACAGATGGGATGGGTGAAAAATTTAGAAAAGATGACCACCTCAAACAATGGTTGAGGAAGAATGCGATGTGTTTTACAAAAACACCGCTCAATTTGAACAAATGAATGCACGCCCACTTAAAAACGCATTGCCGTTCACACAGCACTCAAGATAAAAAGAACAGACAAATTACCTACTGGTCCCAAAAAAAGTTTGTGAAACAAACTTCAGTTTTTTGTGTCCATGCAGTAAAATGTTCCAAAAGAAAGATGAAAGAATTGTTTGGCGATAATGGGCACACAAGAGTGGCCGGAAGTGTTACTAACAGAAGTGACACCGCCCAGAAGAACCCACAACAAAACAGGGGTTAAAATAAATAGTTGGCTGTCAAAATGGGAAATAAACCAACTATTTCCCATTAAATGTGAGTTTGCATCGCATCGAAATGAGTTATAGTTGTCATGAGCCAAATAGATATCCAACACCTGCTGTAAAACACCTTTATTAACGTTTATTCTTATTCCTTGATTAATAGTAAACAGTGCGTCAAGGATTCGTCTGACTGGGTACGGGCTGTCGGTGCTAGCCCTCATTCTTACTGCTCGGGTGATGATGTAAAGAGGACCTGTGGTACCACACTCGGCTAGCTTTTCTTACATTCAACCTCATTTTGATTCTGTCATCATCGTGGTGATTCTATTCATTACCCATGTGAATATTTCAGTTAACATAGACAGACAGACAGACATTAAAGTTTATCTGTTTACTATATATCAACTTGGGACCTCAGTATATAATTTATAACTTTCATAATATAATGATAAATATTCATGACTAGCCTATTATTGAAATTTATGTAAATCATA